TGCAATGCTGGTTCAACATTCGTAAAACCATAAATGTAATTAAATACATCAACAGATGTCAAAACAAAAACCACATGATCATATCATTAGATGCAGAAAAAGCTTTTGATAAAATCCAGCACCCCTTCTTGATAAAAACCCTTGAACATCTAGGCATATGGGGAACATACCTCAAAATAGTAAAAGCCATCTATGAGAAACCCACAGCCAGCATACTCCTAAATGGACAAAAATTGGAACCAATTCCCCTGAAAACTGGAACTAGACAAGGATGCCCACTCTCAGCCCTCCTGTTCAACATAGTATTGGAAGTCCTGGCTAGAGCAATCAGAGAAGAGGAGGCAATCAGGGATATCCAAATAGGAAAAGAGGAAGTCAAGTTATCTCTCTTTGCAGATGATATGATTGTATACCTTGAAAACCCAAGAGAATCTGTCAAAAGCCTCCTTACACTGATAAAGACCTTTGGCAAAGTCTCAGGATACAAAATAAATGTACAAAAGACAATCACATTTCTCTACAACAATAATAAACAAACAGAAACCCAAATAAAAAACAAAATTCCATTCACAATAGCCACAGAAAAAAATGAAATACCTTGGCATCTTCCTAACCAGAGACGTGAAAGAACAAATGAAAATTACAAAACACTGCTCAAAGAAATCAAAGATGACACAAACAAGTGGAAAAATATTCCATGCTCATGGATTGGAAGAATCAACATTGTGAAGATGTCCATCTTACCTAAGGCAATCTACAAATTCAATGCAATACCCATCAAATTACCAGCAACATTCTTCTCAGACCTAGAAAAAACAACACAGGAATTCATATGGAAACACAAACGTCCAAGAATAGCCAGAACAATCCTCAGCAAAAAAAACAAAGCAGGTGGTATCACATTACCAGACTTCAAACTTTACTATAAAGCTACAATCATCAAAACAGCTTGGTATTGGTATAGGAACAGGCATATAGATCAATGAAACAGAATTGAGATTCCAGAAGCAAAACCTCAATTTCTCAACCAACTCTTCTTCGACAAAGCCCCCACCACCTACCACTGGGGAGAGGAGAACCTATTCAGTAAATGGTGCTGGGAAAACTGGCTGACCACATGCAGAAGATTGAAACAGGACCCCTATCTATCCCCATGCACAAAGGTTAACTCCAAATGGATCAGAGACCTAAATGTAAAACCTCAAACCATAAGAACCTTAGAAAAGGAAGGAAATACCCTCATGGAAATCGGAACTGGCATCCAATTCCTGAACAAAACCTGAAATCCACAGGTCATAAGAGAGAAGATAGACAAGTGGGACCTTATTAAACTGACAGCTTCTGCAAAGCCAAAGAAACCATCAAGAGAGCAGGGAGACAGCCCACAGACTGGGAAAAAGTCTTTGCCTATTCTAGGTCTGACAAAGGCTTAACATCCTGGATCTACAAGGAACTGAAACATGCTGAAAAGAAAAAAACAAACAACCCCATTACAAAATGGGCAAAAGATATGAACAGACACTTCACAAAAGAAGACATCCGAGTAGCCAACAAGTACATGAAGAAATGCTCAACCTCACTAATCATCAGGGAGATACAAATCAAAACCATACTGAGATACCACCTAACTCCAGTCAGAATGGCAATTATCAACAACTCAAAAAATAACAGCTGCTGGAGAGGGTGTGGTGAAAAGGGAACACTTCTACACTGTTGGTGGGAGTGTAAACTAGTACAACCTCTGTGGAAAGCAGTGTGGCAATTCCTAAAAGCTCTAAAAATCGACCTTCCATATGACCCCGCAATTCCCCTACTGGGAATATACCCTGAAGAACTCAAATCACTCTATAAAAAAGATACCTGCACACGTATGTTTATCGCAGCACTGTTCACAATAGCAAGAACCTGGAAACAACCATGGTGCCTCTCAAAAGAGGACTGGATTAAAAAATGTGGTATATATACACGATGGAATACTACGCAGCCATAAAAAAGAACAAAATCATGAATTTCACAGCAACCTGGATGGAACTAGAGTCTATAATACTGAGTGATCTCTCACAGAAACAAAGATCCAAGTATCACATGTTCTCACTCATATAATGGACCTTGAACATCCAATGTAATACTATAAGA